CTTAAATTTTTTTATTTAGAAACACAATGCATCTTTTGAAATTTTTAGGCTATAGATTAATTCAAGGTTAGATTGTGGAGACTTGGGAAAATTGTATAAGATTAATATCATTTTAACACCTTATGTCTCCTGAATATGGAAATCGATTTAAATACTTGTTATGACATAGCCTTGTGTTCTCATTCTTTAATAGCTCTTAAGTAGTTTATCTAGCAGTCAACACCATCTAAAAAGCACACACTAAGTAATTAAGCTGATGCAAATAAGTGAATGATCTCGTGCTTAATAAAAAATCTAAATAGGAATCCGCCTTTTAAGTTAGGTGACCCTCACCCGGTCACTTAGGCTAACGGTTGTGAAACCTTCAAAAAAAAAAGAAAAAAAGTGTTTAATTTTGAATTCTTGAAAATATATGGATCATAGTCACTAACAAGCTTATTTACCATGTGTGTGAATAGATAAAGGGCTTAATGTGATTGCATTAGAATGAAAGAGAGCAAAAAGGAAGATGAGTAAGTTAGACTTGAGCATAATAACATGATTTTGATTGGTTTGTATCGGAGGGAGCTTTATAACCGCACAATTGTGGATTTGTGTTCTTACGATATCCTTAGTGTGCAAAATTAGTACCTATCGATGCAATCTTGACCGAAGAAGAGTTTACAGCCTAGAATGAGTATCTAAATGCTTTTGTTTTTTATGAGTCTTGATAATATTTTGCTCGGAGTGCAAAAGTTTAAGTGTGGGAGAATTTGATCAGTACATCTTCATACACATTCTTCCATTGTTATACTTAGGCATTCCTATAGTTTATTTAAGTATTTTTACTATTTTAATGTGTTTTCATATTTAAGTTTGTTTTTACCTTTATTTTATTTTCGCAACTTATGTTCAGCTTTAGCGGTTATTTGATATCTGTCCACTGTTTGAATCATAACTGGAGCTGCGAGAATCAGATTTGTGCGTTCTAATAGATGTTGGAAAGCTAAGACAGAGAGCTACAACTTTTATGTTTGAGGAAGAGGATGATTCAGAGTGTAGCAGGTCCAAATAATTTGTTGAAGTCAGGACCCAAAATCTGCCGTTTGAAATATTTAGTTTTGGACCGGGTTTTTTATGTTTTTCGACTCAGTTGGGTTAAAACCAGAAGTGTTGATGCTTTCTTATACCTAGCAGTCGTACTACTGTCACTTAACCTTCTTTTTACGAATTTCATTGTGTTTTGTACGATTTTCATGGAAAACTAATTCCCAAGGCAAATCCTGCTGCTTACGGATTCCATCACTTTGAGGTTATTATAATATCAATTTAATTCGATTTCTGCTCAATTCTTTTCTATGAAATCATTTTCTTAATTTGATTGCAATCATTTGCTTAATTCGATTGTGTTTATAGGATATAATTGATTAAATTTGATTGTATGCATGTTCTTAAATTTAATTACGTGTTATCGTTTGCTTAATTCGTTAACTCATCATATTCTTAACTGTTTGCTTAATTCGGTAACAGGAGCATAATTCGTATGATTTTGATAAGCGCTTGTCTGATTAATATCATAATCGAATAGGATTGAAGTTGCTTAGGGATTGTTGTTATAATAGTTGATGATAAGTCGGAACCCGCATCAGTAGGATTAGCCGTTTTAGATTATTTGATAATCACTATTTTTTAATCACTTTTTTTCCCTCTTATTTTATAAATCAAAACTTAAACCCCCCATAAACCTTTTCTTTAGTTGGTTGAAATAATACAAAAATCCTTGTGAGAACGATACTCGAGTTGTCGCTACTGTTAGCTATTTTCTTAAAGAAACAATTCCATGTATCCCCAAGGCTTAGTGGTGGTACTGTTGAAGTCCTGTAGGTCAGAGTCGACATACGGGGTCAGATGGTTGTCGTCGAGCTGGAGGGTCATAAACAGATGGGCATACATTATATCCAACGAACTCCCTTGGTCAACTAAGATTCAACGCACGTCAAAGTTTGCCATCTGAGCCCTGATCAAGAGGGGAATGCTGGACTTTGGTGCACCCCCGGGAAGCTCCTTGAGGTAAAAGGTAATCGGGTTTGATTGACCTTTGAACTTATCGAGGGTAGCATTCGTCTTTAATCTCTTGTCGATCAGTTCCTCGAACTTCCTCTTGATCAATCCGAATGATAGCTTGCTGGGCCCTCCGCCGGATATGACCAAGGTGGCGGGGAAATCCTCTGTCCGAGAGACACACAGGGCGACCTGTAGTCCAGCTTCTTCGGAGGGTGGTGACACTTCCTCGATCCTCTTGGCTTCGCGGGTCTCAGGTCGGGGAGCCTCACCTCTCCGGGTGTACTGTTTTAGGCACCCTTCCTTAATTAAGATATCGATTGCATCCTTGAGGTGGATGCAATTCTCTGTGACATGTCCATGACTCTAGTGGAACCAGAAGTATTTGGATTTGTCCACGTTGGGCTTCAGGGGCGTGGGTTTCGGGAAACAGACACCGCCCCTCTGAAATTCCGAATTGATACATTCGGACAGGGTGCGCTCGCGGGAAACTGTGAGCAGCGTGTACTCAATGAGCCGACGCGCTGGTCCCCTCTACTTGCAGGGTCGGTCTTCTCTTCTTCTTTCTCCGCTTCTTTAAGGAGGAGCGACCTTCTCATGCCTGGCGCCCTTGAGGCCTTCCTAATTCCGCGTGTCACAGACGATGTTGGCGACCTCTATCTTCTCATACTGGATGTATGATTGGACATTGAGGAGAAGAGCATTCAAGGTGCGAGATCGTTTGACCCCGACGGCTTTGGCGAAGTCGGAGTAAGGTCGTATGCCTTTCTTGATCAGGAATTTCTTCATATCATATGTGGTGGACACCTGGACGGCTTCTCGGTTGAACCTCTCTATGTAATCTCGAAAAGGCTCATTCTTTCCTTGGATGATGGCTTCTAGGGCTGCCTCTGTCTTCGGATGGCGCCGGGAAGCTGTGAAGTGCTTGGAGAACTGCCTCTTCAGTTTTCTCCAGGAGATGATGGACCCAGGAGCAAGGCGTTTGTACCACACCATGACACCCTTTCTCAGTGTAGTGGGGAAAAACTTGCACGTGATGGCTCCCCGCATGTTCCAATAATTGAGCATCGCGTCGATGCTTTCTATGTGGTCGTCTGGGTCGGTCGTGCCATCGTATGTTGTCAAGGGCGGGGGTTTCTCCATCCCGATGGGCAGTGGGGCCTCTCTGATGGCCATACATAGTGGTGAGCACTAGACGTCTTCGTCACTCCTGATAGGTGATAGTGAGAGGGAGACTGATCCCTGGTTGTTTCTGTTCTGTCAGAGAGGACTCCTCGGTCGGGCTCTTGGCTTGGCAACGCCTCCTTCGACTTTGTTCTTCTTCTGAGATGGGGAGCATCGTTCCTTTCGGGGAAGTGACTGGTCGCGATTCTGGGAAGCCATTGGCTGTGGTCGCTCCAAACGGGGGTGGCACCTAGTCAGTCGGGGAGAAGGGCTCCGAAACTCGTCGACGTGTCGCATCCTTCGTGGGGGAGGAGAAGAGCTGTTGAAAACTGAGCGACGATGTCTCCTCAGGGGAGAGCGAGATGGTCGCTCCCTCTCGAGCATCCCTATCCGCTTGTTCTGTTGGAAGATTATTAGGTTGGTCTGGTTGATAGTTGCGAACAGAGCCACCTTGGTAAGATCGACGCCTGCTGGCACTGGGATGGGTTGGTAGATAACCGAACTGTCGAAGCGCTGGGCGGAGGGAGATGCAGTGCTCTCGTCCCTGTGGTCGCCCTCGTCATTGTGGACGGTCACGTTGGGGTCGTGGCCGTCCCCGTTGGCGAAGGGGACGAAGGCGGTTTTCGGAACATTATCGTCGTGTGGGCTGACCAAGATTAGAATGGAAGTTAAAAGTTGCTTTGGTTCTTGAGCTTCTATGCTTGGATAGGAGAAAGAACGGGGGAGCAAAGGGTTCCCACAGACGACGCCACTGATCTCACCTGATCAGAAAGATATCAGTAGTCTGCCACCCATCGTGAGCTCCTGTGTTCACCGGCGTTGTAAAGGAGGAGGGGGTGTACATGCAGGGTACTCCGATGCTTAAGTGAGTAACGAAGTTTAAGAAAGAGCAACTACAAAGAGAATAGGTGTAGAGAATAATATTTGTCCCTCTAGTGAAAGAGGGTATTTATAATGTACCCCCAACACAGGACCAAGGATTACATTGCATTGGACCGGATTGTCAAGCCCAACACAAGTAATTGCCAGGACTTACGTGGCGTAGGGAAGACCAGCATGTGGTATTCGTCCTGGATCAACTGTCCCGTGATCTTCGGAAGATGGACTGACCGACTCTTTCGGAGGTGGATAGTTGCCTGATAACGTGTCCCCGCGTGGGAGGCACGTGGAGTCCGTGGGGAAAGCGCGTAAGCTTTCCCCTTGCAAGATAATGCTCTGCTCGATTGAAATGCCTTGTTGAGGTGCGTTTCCGACAGAGGAAGATTGAGCCTTATTGAGTTTCAACAGCGTAGTATTGGGTTGAGCCTACCCGATTGAGGGACAAGTCTTAGTCCAATTCAGAACAATATTTATACACATCAAGACTTACAAGTCAATAACATATGTGAAAACTTTTAACAATATCATTTTATTCTATAGGGACAAACCTATAATATCTCTTGTAGAAGGCTTAAAATTCTTTATAACCAATAAAATTGTTAGAATTCGAGACTTTCTACTTAGATATGAGGAAATCATATATCCTATAATATATAAAAGGATGAAGAAGTCAAAACATCAAAATCATCAATAATAATAATAATAATAATAATTATAAAAGTAAATAATGAATCAACGATAATAAATCTCGAAAGCGGAAACTTTTTACACCGGTTTGGTTAGTTTCCACGTAAGAAAAATAAAAGTGGGTCACAAAATTTTCCTTTTCTTTCTCATTTGGTCTCTGTACTAAGCATCTCACTCATTCAACTGTGTAAACACATACACCAAGAGAGAAGAAAGAAGAGAGAGAAATAATGTCTTTCTCAAGCAACCGCCGGAACACGGATATGATGAAGCTGTCTGTTTTCTTTTCTTCTTTTTTCTGCTTTCTAACACCGCTTTTTTGTATGATTTTCTAATCGGTGTGTATGTGTGTTGGATTTATATGAATCAGGATGATGGCTAATTACAAAGTGGAGACGGAGAATGACTCCATGCACGAGTTCTTTGTGGAATTTCACGGGCCTGAAAACAGTAAAGTTCTTTCTTTTTCTTTTTTTTTTTTGCATTGCTTTATCAAATTTTCAATCTTTTTTTGTCTCACCATTGAAAGATTGAAATGTCTTTCTTTATATTGTATGTGTTTGAATTCAATGCGAGGTTCTTACGTGTTTGGATCAGTATTCAACAGCTGCTATATGAGGGTCTTGTAGTTGTGCTTCAATTTTGTAGCTTAACTGTTTGTCCATTTTCTTCAATGAGGATGACTTGCATTAGGGCCTATTCTTGGTTTTTCTGTTTATTTTTTGATGTTTGAATAACATATTTGTAATTTTAAAGGTAGAACTGAAGTGGGTTTTTGTTCTTCTGTTTTTTGACTCACTTTTGTTGGGACTTATTGCAGCTCTTTATCAAGGAGGTGTGTGGAAAATAAGAGTGGAGTTACCTGAAACTTATCCTTTTACCTCTCCTTCTATTGGTTTTACCAACAAAATTTACCATCCTAATGTTGACGAAATGTGAGTTGTTCATAGCACCATTGTCCTCCATGGAACCTATATTGGTTGTTGCACCTGCGCATACAAATTGTTATATTCAAACTCAACAGATGATCAAATTGTTTTTCTCTGATATTTAGATCTGGGGCAGTTTGCTTAGATGTTCTTAACCAGACTTGGAGTCCAATATGTGGTAAGCATTATTAACAATCTATAGTATGGTAAAGAATATTACTAAAACTGCACTTGCTATGCATTTAATTCAACTTTGTTTGATTGTTAGTTTTGCTATCTTACGTTTTTCTTATTTTCGTTCAGATCTTGTTATTGTGTTCGAATCGTTTCTTCCTCAACTTCTTATCTACCCCAATGAATTTGATCCATTGAATAGGGATGCCGCTGCCTTGATGATGCAAGACAGTGCTGCATATGATCTAAAAGTCAAAGGTAATAATCCTTGTTAAATTTCTACATATGAAACTGCAATGCCTGTTTTATGTTTAGGTAATCAATGTTATGAGTTTTTACCTTTTTCTCTACAATAAACTCTACCCTGATTTTCTTTTCAATGAATGTTTTTCTAAGCCTATATTAGTCTCGCGTGATCACTCACCCAAGACTTTCTTGCTTCATCTTTTGTTTAAATAAACAGCATATATTTTCATATTAGTCTAACTAACATCATGTCTCAAAATGTTGCTTTATTCTGTGCATCTATTTCGATTGATATTAATTTGGGAGAAACAATGAACAGAATACTGTGAAAGATATGCCAAGCCAGAAGATATTGGAGCTTCTGAGGAAGATTCTAGTGATGAAGAGCTGAGTGAAGATGATGATTCTGCATCGAATGATGACGGCGTTGCTGGCCAACCTGATCCCTAAAGTATTATACATACAATGTCTGCATTATTACATTCATGCTTGTACATTATTACTACATGATATGATATTGAAGTACTTGAATTAAGAGAAACAATTTCTGAAGGTTGAAGGAAAAATCCTCACCTTTCTATCTGTATATTACTCCTTGGGGGGTTTTGTAAATTTCTTAATTGCTTAAGTGTTTCATATATTTACTTTTGTTATTATAAGGTTCAAAATTTGAAGATTCAAGCTGGTTTTTGCATATGAATCCATTACATTTGAAACTGGTCCAAGCATCTCAGGAAGCATTTTAATTTGTTTCAATTCCAATGGCTTTTTCATAACATCTACAGTTTGACTTACAAAGGCACAATAGCTAAACATGATTTCTCCATCGTTCTCTAAATTCCTAAAAGGTGAAATTTCACATCAATATAATGTTAGAAATCAGATTTTAACAAAGCTACAAAAAGTGAGTGGAGGAATGTGTTTTATTCGATTAATCAGTGGCTAATATATAGTCATCTTACAAGCAAAAGGAAATAACTAACTCTACTCATGCCTACAGAGTAGTAAAACAAGTAACAAACCCTATTTCTCCTAAAGAATAGGTCTTATTCAAACAGAATAATAAAACAGTAGACTAAAACAAATACTAAAACACTAATACCTGTCCACCTAACATTCCCTCCCTTAAACTAAAACACATGTATTTTAGTTTAACTCCGACGCACTAACCATTCCAAGCATACCACGGAGTTTTTCAAACTGTTCAAGTTTGAGTGGTTTTGTCATCAAGTCGGCTACTTGCTCCTGTGAGTTGCAGTACTTTAATTCTACAACACCTTCATTCACTAAATCTCTTAAAAAATGAAACCGCACATGAATATGCTTACTTTTTCCGTGAAAAACCGGATTCTTAGCCAACTGAATGGCAGAGCTGCTGTCACATTGAATTATAGTTCCTTCAACCTGCTCCACTCCAATCTTTCTCAAGATTCTCTTTAGCCATATACATTGACAAGCACATAGAGCTGCTGCGATATATTCGTCCTCGGTAGTTGATAAAGTCACTACAGGCTGCTTTTTTGACGACCAGGATACAGCTCCAGATCCTATCATGAACACATATCCAGATGTACTTCTTCTATCATCAAGATCACCCGCATAGCCACTATCTGTGAATGCCAAGAGTTTTGAACAACCTTCATTCTTTGTGTAGAAAATGCCTAGCTCAGTTGTCCCCTTTAAATACCTCAAAATTCTTTTGGCTGCCAACCAATGTGACATGGTTGGTCTAGACATGTACCTGCTTATGAGACTTACACCATACATTAAGTCAGGACGAGTTATAGTTAAATACATGAGACTTCCAACCATTTGTTTGAACATTGTTGCATCAACTTTAGTTCCTCCTTCATCCTTTGACAACTTTGTTCCCGGTACAATTGGATTTTTCACACTATTGCTATTTTCCATTTCAAATCTTGATAACACTTCTCGTGCATACCTTCTTTGACAAATAAAAATACCATTTGAATTTTGCAGCACTTCCATTCCAAGGAAGTGTCTCATTCTTCCTAAGTCGGACATATCAAACTCTATCATCATTGACTTTTTAAATTCCATACACATGCTCACATCACTTCCAGTAAATATTAAGTCATCTACATAAAGGCTAATTATTAAAATTTTACCTCCTTTTGATTTGGTGAACAAAGTATGCTCACTCGAACATTTCTCGAAGCCTTCACGCAGAAAGTAAGCCTCAATTTTGTTGTACCACGCCCTTGGCGCTTGCTTGAGGCCATATAGAGCCTTTCTTAGCTTGTAAAACTTCCCTTCTTCTCCCTTCTTAACAAACCCTTCAGGTTGTTGTACAAATACTTCCTCCTTGAGTTCACCGTGAAGGAAAGCGCTCTTTACGTCAAGCTGAAAAATCTCCCAGCCACACTGTGCTGCTACTGCAAGTATTGTTCGAATGGTATCGAGCCTTGCCACTGGTGCAAATACTTCGGTGTAATCAACTCCATACCGTTGTGCATAACCCTTAGCAACCAATCTCGCTTTATGTTTCTCGACATCCCCATTTTCATTAAGTTTGGTCTTAAAGACCCACCTAACTCCAATAGGCTTGGCATCCTTAGGCAAATCCATCAATTCCCATGTTTGGTTCTTCTCTATAGCTTTCATTTCTGCTTCCATAGCCTCTTTCCACTTCTTGCTTTTGACTGCCTCTGCAAATGAAAAAGGATCATTCTCTGTTACCATCATCATTGCATGCATATCTTCTTCTTCTTCTGAGAAACCTTCTCCTGTTTTATAGTCCGCCATCCATACCGGTTTTGTTCTGACTCTTTCACCCCTCCCTTCATCTGCAATTTCTTGAATGTTTTCTTCATTTTGTGGTGAATAATCGGAAGTAGTATTTCTGCCCATGACCTCCACAATATTATCCTCGTCGACATGCTCTTTTTCACTTTCATTATCATCTTCTAGCACATCCAAATTCAGTTCTTCTTCAGTTCTTCCCCAATTCCAGCCCTCTTCTTCTTCAAATTGAACATCGTTGCTGATGATGATCTTCTTAGTGATTGGATCATATAATCTATAGGCCTTGGATTCATTGCTAACACCTATGAATACACACTTCTTGCTTTTGGCATCTAACTTGCTCCTCTTTTGGTCTGGAATATGAGCGTGTGCTATGCAACCGAACACCCGGATGTAAGTTGCTGTTGGTTTCACTCCACTCCATGCTTCCTCTGGAGTTTTTTCTTTTACCGCTGCGGTCAGGCTCCTATTTTGAACGTGAACACACCAATTTACAGCTTCTGGCCAAAGCACTTTTGGAACTTTCTTATCAGCTAATATTGAACGTACTGCATTCATGATTGTTCTGTTCTTTCGTTCGGCAACTCCGTTCTGTTGTGGAGTGTATGCTGCTGTCAACTGCCTACTTATACCACGAGCTTTACAAAATTCTCCAAATTCATTTGAGTTAAACTCACCTCCTCTATCTGTTCTCAAACAAGTTATATATGCACCAGCCTCTTTTTCAATAAATGCTTTGAAATTCTTGAATGCACTAAAGGCTTCTGATTTTTCATGTAAAAAATAAACCCAAGTTTTACGTGAAAAATCATCAATGAAAATTATGATATACCTTTTGTTACTGTTGGAAGCAGGTTTGATAGGCCCACACAAATCAGAATGCACGAGTTGAAGTTGCTTTGAGGCTCTCCAAGAACTTTGTTTTGGAAAGGATCCTCTATGCTATTTGCCAACCAAACAAGTTTCACATAATTTTTCTGGAACTTTGAGCAGCGGCACACCGTCTATCATTTTCTTGTATGCAAGTGTTCTTAATCCTGTGTAATTCAAATGGCCAAATCGACGATGCCACAGGTGTGATTCTTTCTCAGAGGAAAGTTTAGCCTGAAGACACATCGAATTTTCTTTTGCTGCCATAGATGCTAACATATAAAACATTCTATTTCCACTCATGTTAGTTTGCATAATTAAACCTCTTTTAGGATGATAAACTTTACAAGTCCCTTGCTGAATTATAATAGCTAAACCCTTCTCCTGAAGTTGGCCTATGCTCAACAAATTACTTTTCAACTCAGGTATGTAAAAAACATTTGAGATTACCTGAATAATATCGTTCACTTGAAGTCGTACACTCCCTTTAGCTACCACTACCATTCTAGTGTCATTCCCAAGCTTCACAGTTTGTTTAAATCCTTCCTCTAGCTCCGAGAACCATTCTTTATTTCCGGTCATGTGATTCGAACACCCAGAGTCAAGAAACCAAGCTTCTTCTATTTTGGTTTGATCAGCATCAACATAAGACATCAGCAAAACCTCTTCTCCTTCTTCTACATATTCAGCGTAGTTAGCCCGTTTCTCCCAATCAGGACACTCATATTGAAAGTGTCCCAACTGATGACATTTGAAACATTCTACGGTGGCTTTATTCATAGATGACCTCCCTCTTCCTCTACTTCGACCCCCTCGGAATGAGCCTCTGCCCCGTCGTGGCTTGTCGTCATAAGAAATTTTTAATGCTTGTTCTTCCTCATGATTCCCATGCATTCTTTGCTCTTGAACAAGTAAACTTCCATGGAGCTCATCAACAGTCATAGTATCTATGTCATTTGACTCCTCAATTGAACATACAACATAATTGAACTTGGGAGTCAAAGATCTCAAAATCTTACCCACCACTGTGCTTTGCTTCATATCTTCTCCATTCACTTTCATTTTATTTATCACCATGAGGGTTCGCGAAATGAAGCTATCGATCTTTTCTCCTTCTTTCATAACCAGCATTTCAAACCCTTCCTCAATGCCTGCAGTTGCGCTCTCTTTACTTTGGTTGATCCCTGGTACTTCTGTTTCATCGAATCCCATATCGCCTTTGATGTTCTTTTGTCAAGAATGGTTTCCATGATCTCTCTTTCAATCGCTTGAAAGAGATAGTTCTTAACTTTCAGATCTTTGAGTTTTGTTTCTTCGACACTTTTCCTTTGAGCCTCACTTGCCGCCGAAGTCCCGATTGCTGGTGCTGGAATACCTTCATCCACCAGGTTCCACATCTCTTTGCTCCTCAAGAAATTCTCCATCAACATCGACCAATGATCGTAATGGCCGTCAAATCTTGGAGTCACAAATTTCTCAGAGGTTGTCATGCTTCACTCACTCTCACACTCCTACAGCCCCTTTCGGAAGCTCTTGATACCAAATGTTAGAAATCAGATTTTAACAAAGCTACAAAAGTGAGTGGAGGAATGTGTTTTATTCGATTAATCAGTGGTTAATATATAGCCATCTTACAAGCAAAAGGAAATAACTAACTCTACTCTTTACATGCCTACAGAGTAGTAAAACAAGTAACAAACCTTATTTCTCCTAAAGAATAGGTCTTATTCAAACAGAATAATAAAACAGTAGACTAAAACAAATAATAAAACACTAATACGTGTCCACCTAACATATGTCACTTTTTCTCCCTA